CGGCCTGATTAACGTCGTTAATTAAGTAAAGGGTGGGTGCAAACAATGATAGGTTGCAGTGTCGAAAATTTAGGATACACCGGGCTCGAGTTTCTGGGTTAATCAGCACGCGGTGTCTCGCGTTTTCGAGCTCGCGGAAAATGTTGAATTAGCACCCACCGCGGCTGGAATAATTAAGGCGGCTCATTGTGCGCGAGAATATTTCATTGCCGGCTTCTCCTCCACCCTTCTGTCGCCCCCTTGTCGCGGCTCGTTGAGCTTTTTCGTTTGGTTTTGTGCTCGGTGCGTGGAACGCTTCTCTCGACAGCCTGTTTCGCATCCACGGCTGCTGGAAATGCCTCTGGACGATTTTTTCCCTTCCTCTTTCTTTTTTCTTTTTTTTTTCACCTAGCCTTGTTGCGAATTGGGTCACGCAAGGTGCTGTTGACTTCAAATGTTTCTACGTTATATGTGTATTGATTAAAATATTGTTGTTTTTCTTTTTACCTTTCACCTGATATCAGTAAATGATTTGAAATTTTCTTCTACAAAAATTATGGATGATTCTGAAAATTGTTTTACTATCTGGTGCTTTTCATGTCGAATTATTTATTGTCTTTAATCGCCATGGGTATCATTTAATAATTTCTATTTGCAATTAATCAAAATTAATTACCTGTTACTAAATGGGTATCTATATTTTAGCAAATCAAAACTTATTATTATGTATTGATAGATGAAATTTGATTGTCATGTGTATAATTAATTATTGAAATATCATTGTGATATATATTCTGTAAATGATATTTGTTTAATTTAAAAATCCATAATACCTATTACTGTTAATTAAAAGGAATGTTTATTTTTTTAAAATATGGGTTCTATAGTTATAATATAAAAATTATTTTATTTTTAATGATGCCTGCTTTATTTGATAACTTTATTTGTGGTCATCAACGAAAAGACTTTGAATCGAAAATGATTCGGGCATGTATCCTGCAATATCCTGAAAAATAAGAAAAGTTCAACCACATCGAGGTCATATCTATCGATCCTGCTGACCTACCCCTTCGCTCTACTTCCCATTACTTTCGAATCACAATCGGCCCTCTGAGGTGCCTTTAAAGTCGAAATCTAGAAACAAAGCCTTGAAACGCGTAAATTATTTCGCTGGTAATAGTCTCTTCATGGAATGTTTCTTTGCGGTCGTTTCTCAGGCTTTTTTCTAGATCAACAATCTAGTAGAGATTCTATGGATATCGAATAATTCTTCCCTTTTATAATTTCATGAAATGTGCATAAAGGCTTTTTTTCGTTAAAAAGATTAAGCTGGTATTTTCACATTTTACCTACCCAAAATGGAATAAAATAAAATAATTTGTTGATAGACGGCGAATCAATCGACTCGTCCGGATCGTATGGATAATTTATTTACAAGAGTAAAACATTATGTACAAGAATGCGTCGAGAATCGTGTGAAAACAATACATGCTGAGAGGATGTGGAAAGGTAACACAGCTTCACTCGTCTCTTATCTGTTACCCTTACTTTATTAACACTTTGCCAACCAATATATCAAGCAACTCTATTTCGTAAGAAATTTTTAATATTATCACTGTGAAAAAAAGTGTTATGTATAAAATTTATGAATATTTGCAATTTTAATTTTATTCATTTAGTGTAAATAAATATTAACACAGATAAATTATTGTATCAAAAGTATTGAATAATCAGAAGTATTGTTTATCACCAATGGTTCTGATTTAAGCTGTTGGCAAAGTATTAATTATAAAATCATGTCTCACGCGAGCGCACATACATACACACTTATACAGATTCCTACGTCTTATTCGATGCGTTTTACGGTATCTTCTTTCATTCCCACGACCCTGAACTGTCAACCTTGTTTCTTCTCAAGCAATTAACATTGGAATATTGGGTGACCTTTCGAACTTTTCGGTCGCTTTTTAAGTTACGCTTCAAGTAATGAGAAAGATGGCAAAAAAAAGAGTGATTAATTGCGTGTCGTAAGCAAATGAGGGGGAGATCAACACCTATTTAACTGATTTTTTTATTACCGTGGTGATTCAAAGTAAGACACTGTGTGAAGAGGGAGAGATTGGAGTGATTATGAAATTAATATTTTAGAAAATTTGTTGAAGAAAAATTGTTTCAATTGGTTAGCACCTGACAATTGGATGACACCAATAAAATAAATTAATTTTGTATGATCTTTAATTAGAATGTGTAAAGCAATAATAACATTTTCCACCCAAATTAAAACAATTACCTGGAAGAAATAAGATGAAAATAAAATAATTTCATAAAACACTCACAGTGTGAAGATACGGATAATACTCATATTACCTGTAAGCAGTGACGGATATTTAGATTATTTTTCAGCATGTAATTAAAAACCTACCTCAGAGATAACAGTTCAGGGCAGATGTATATTTCTTCACTTTATATTAACACTTATTCTGTAGTAGAAAGTTCATTAATGGGATGAAGGAATGTAGATGAGGGATAATTCGGTGGACGTCGTTTCTCTATGTCGACGTCTGGCCTCTTGGTATTTCTTTTGGATTTTTAATACGTTCTTTGTCTACTTAAACACTCTTACAAGCTTTCTTTCCACTTCCATCAATCTTCACCCATTTTCATCTTATAACAATCGATCAAAATTAATGGGACGATCGTTACGTGCATTAGAAATTAATTCTAAAATTTTTAATTAACACGTGGACACCTAGATGCCTTAATTTTTCCCTAGAATTTAAAGTAAAATTAAAAATTTATTTAACTATTAAATGTAATCTTTAATTTAAATCCAGTATTATTAAAAAAATAAAATTGCAAAATTCCCAAATTACAGAATCAAAAATCATTTCTAGATAAACTTTGTTAATTGACAGATGAGCTTGACAACCAAAAACTGAATTCGTTCGTTCTAGAAATTCTTCTCATAAAAACCTTGTGTAAATTGGGGTAAGTTTTATTACATATTATTTTCATACACGACATTGTGATATTTCATTGACGAACAATGGAAAATAAACTCTTTGTACCACAAAGACGTTTCGCGTGGATTTCCACGAAGAAACGATCGATTGTCCCCAATGGTTTCCGCAATAAAATTCACGATCCACCTTGATACGCGCACTTCTCGTAAAACAGTATTGGTTGTCCTCGCCCCGTATCCTTTACTTCTTCCTTCATGCAATCGTAAAAAGAAGAAACAGTCGGTAGTGTTCGTTCACGTGGCTGTCAATCTTCGAGGGAAACAAAGAAACTTGGAAATTTTTGATATTCTAGACGATTTCGTGAACAACTTCTTTCATTGCGGCTCAAAATGATTGACGTGCGAGAAATCTACGGTTTCATCGTATCGGAAAAAACTTATTCCATATTCTTTTATTCCTGAAGGATTTATAAGAATTTTTCAAAATTTTAAATATTCTACAGGGTGTTAAAAAATACCCTGAACTACACCGTTGGATAGATCACGAAAAATCGAAGTTATAAATTCTGTAGCATTTTTCGATGGGATCAGTTAGCTACATTTCGTTGTTGAAAATTGAAAAATTGACCAATCCACGGTTTAATTATAAAGTATCTCCTTGATGGTATATTTAGTTGTAAATTGAAATTTCGATTGGTTCCGAAGATATAAGGCTCCAAAGTTTACTACGTAACGCGAGGGTTGTGAATGACCGAGATTGTATGAAAATGGGGTGACCCACATTTTTTCCTGGAAGTGCGTACGCGTGGTGGTAGTAGTGAGCGTAAAAACATTGGACATCAATGAACGGAGAGAGTGAGAGGTTCAAGAGTGCGAGTGAGAGGCCTGACAAGTGAGTGAAGGGTTTAAGCTTGCAAGTGAAAGAATTCCAAACGTGCAAATGAGTGAAAGGTATGAGCGCATGAACAAGAATTCTCTAGAATATTCTCAATATTGCAATATAAGAAAAATTCTCCTAATATTTGTAATTTTTCATTAAAGGACGAACGAATTCAGCTTTGCACTGTTAACAATCGTCTCCTTTCTAACAATTAAATTTACATAATCATTCCTATTGATTCACGAGCTTACGTATTGAAATACCATTTTCAAATCATATACATACAGCCATTCTTTCTTATTAATCACCATTAACAGCATACACCATGTAAAATGTTCTTGTTTCCTTATCTCGATGACACTAGAACGCAGTAATAATCTGCAAGTTATTACACATATCGAACCTGGGATACTACGACTGACGTATCGATAGAGTGTCTATAGATGCACTGAAAATTGCGATTACGCATTTTTTTATTATTTTTATTATAGAGTTCCTTCATCGACGATCCTTCTTGCACCAAGATAGAGTGTGCTTAAAAAAGTTCCATCGTTGTTCGTTGATTCGTGCAATTGAATCTTCTCTTGTGCGTTGAAGAAGCTTTCTTTAATTTTAACTGAGCTAATATTCGATTCAATTGTTTGCGGATAATAATCAATTTCATAAAAATTGTACCACCGAACGAAAATAATTATTTGTTAGAATTTCTGATAAATATTGTACTTATCAAGATTAAATAATAAATTGAACTTGATTGAAATTAAATTACAGCTTCTTTTGAAATCATTTCTATCCGTAATACACACATCTAAAATATCAAATTTCATTTCAATTTTCATCGCTAAAACTCTGAAATCCTATACACACATTTTGATTAAGAAATGAAACTTCACAAGTGCGATAGCATACATATAAAAAACCAAATATGATACTCTATGGGACCAAATATGATACTCTATCATCAACAATTTTTGATTGAAAAAGATGCTAAAGATTTAAACCTTTTTATTTGATTATTATTAAATTTTATATGAACTTTTTCAAATTTATTAAATGAATTTCAATTATTTTTAATAAAACACGAAGGACTGATTAGAGTTTAAACTATTATTGAAAAACTGACCTTAGGGCTATAGTACTGCTCCAAAACAATCAAAAGAAAGTCTTCCACCTAATAAAACAAAAAGCTTCGTTAATTCACGTTACCATAAATTTCCACTAAAAAGAGAAAAAAAATGGTTAATGACGATTTCTCCGAATCAGAAAATTAAAAGAAAAAGAAAAAGAACTTGCCAATCAGCTTTATCGTTCATCGCACGGTACAAGAAAGCTTCTTCGTCGATGATTGCTCGTTCAGCCGTCAATTGAATTTCGATCAAGGTACAAACAGGGAATGGGGGGTGGCTACGTCTTATTGTGTCCAACGATCCATCGAATTTCACTTAATGCTCGGTAAGATTCATCATGTGCGAGAAGAAAGCTTCTCACACGTGAATTCACACACATGTTCATTCACACACACATGTGTACATGCCACGCACAGACACGTACGAGAACACACATTATCTCAATTGACCCAAAAAGAAGGCGAGCATTAGGAGGACCGTCTTCGATGTTGGCGAGCCTGCTGCCGTGTTCCCGTGCTGCATTGCGGCTGGATGCTCTCCTGAAACAAAAACAATAAGTCCTGGATTAGTGCCTGCTCTACACTTCCGGTTCCACTTCCACAATTACCTTTTTTCAAGCTTTAGTTGAATGAAATACTTGGCTTTCTTTCCTTTCACTTTTATATTGAATTATTAGAAATTTTTATTACACGATAATTAGGTGCTAATTTCTTAATTACTTAAATTGATTACCAGGTTGAACTTTAATTTTTTTACTTTTAAATAGCCAGGTATTAAATTTGTATTCTAAACAAATTTATCTATTATTTGTCTAATATTTAATTCAATTAATTACTTATAATTCCAATTAGGTAAGTCAAAGAATTTCTAATTAAGAATTCAATCTAATTAAAAATAAGAGTACTATCAATCATTCCAGTGTCATAATTCGTAAAGAATATCTTATTCATATTATATTAATATGAACTGTACTGTATTATATATAATACAATTACAAATTAGGTCGGCATAAACTTATGACCGGAAGCGTATAGATAGTGTCACAGAGAAATTGTCGTCGGATCAGCAACGTCAAAGCTGTATCGTATTGGGAATTAAGATGCGCTACTATCTGTCAATCATATAGGATGAAAGGCCTCTTTAAGCGGCCGCGACAGAACAGAAATTAGAGCATCGATTAGACGGTCAATTATGAAATTGCATTTGGTGGACATCATACGAGTAATTCGACGCTTTCAGCCAGAATACTCGTGCCGGGAATGTGGATCGTTACGAGTGCGCGTTTTGTCCAAAATATAATTAATTAATGCTGATAATTAGAAGCATTTGGTAGCGGGCTCACGTAACTTCCCCGACGTAATTAAATATTTTGTTATCAGTAGATTGCGGATGTTTATATATTTATACCACACTGGAGTAATGGAAACAATTTATAAAGCATACGATGGTCATAAGAATACGAAAGAGATTGTTTTCATTTTGAGACATGACTTAATGACATAAAAGAATTGTTAAATAGGACTTATGATACACCAAATTAAAGATTAAGGATTAATAAAAATAACCACATAAACATTTCTTTAATATTTTTGATATAAAATGGTTAAATCTTTATTTAAACATTACATAGTGCTAAGTTGCAAAATGTTTGATTCGTTATGTGCTTTAACGAAGCGGCAGCTACTTTGGATTAAGATTATCAATGAAATGTTTATATAGTCATTTTTACTAAATTTTAAGTTTTCAAATGATATATCATAAGCGGTATTCTGAAATACTTTTATGTCATGAAATTAAGTCAGATTTTCCATGTTTCAAAACCTAACGTCACCCAAAATTATGAGTCTGAAAATATATCAATATTATCCACATCATTTTTAAACGAAAAATATATCAATATTATCCACATCTTTTTTAAACGAAAAATAGGTAGCTGACATTCGAAACGGAAGTTAGCATGCACATTCGACGAATCCACGGGACAGTTTTTTACCATCAAAAATCAGGTTTCTTGTTCCGGCAGTGCAAATGAGTTACGGATCTGTTTCGAAGTGTAATTAACACGAGCAAAGTGCACGAATTCATCTCTTTTCCATGCTCGATGGATGCACTGGACACCGCGAATAAATAAATATTCAAATATGCATAACAGCCACGGATGGAGAATTTTCGTCCACATTTTAAACTTGTTCAACTTTATCTTTTTTTTCAATTCCTTTGACTTTGTATTTCAGAGTCAATTAAATTTTAATTCTGGGATTTAAACGTAATTGAACGTTGAAGCAATGAGATGTTAATTTCAAAAATTGGTTGCATTTAGAATTGAAGATAATATTAAAATAGCATATACAAGGTATATACTTGCAATAATGAATTACTATCATTTTTAATATTTCAAAATTATAAAATAAAATACAAGATAGTTGCAATAATTAATTGCGACTATTTTTGAATTGAAAAAAATTGATTAAAATCTCCGGTGTAATTGCTTTTGCTATTTCGAAAAATTTGAAATGCAAAGTACGATGCGAGGATAAAAGCAAAAATAGAATAATTTTCTTCCTTTCTATTCGATTTACGAAACTTCAGTGTAATTTTGTACACGACCGTCGTCTCGCGACGCGTTCACCTTTTTGATTTATTATTTGGCTGCGTTGCTTTTTGATTTATCGCGTCCCATGGGATATCCAGCTTGTTTTTTCACCGGGCGTGAAATAAAATTTCTCGTGTAGGTATATTCGGGCGCGGGGGTCAAGGGTTGCTTTCGCTACTAATTTCACCATGGCGTACACCTTACTTGCAGTTGCACATCACGCGCTATACGATTTACGTGATGCGACGGGGCTCGTGACGAGCTGTTCCACCACTACGAAACACGGTACATCCCTTATGCAGTAATTTCGTCTGCAAAATCTCGTGGGTAGCCTATTGAGACTACTGATTTACAAGCAACCTCTGAATAAAGTGCCTTAAATGAAGTATGAAAGATTGTTTTTTAGGAGTAGCAATCAGAAATCCATTGTTTTTTTAATAAGTTGACTATCCATGTTGACTATCTATATTTTGAAATTTGCCATTTAACAAGCAACAACCTAACAGATTTAGCTTAATTAAATATTCCTTCAGACTGAATGCACATTCATAGCTGAAGAATTATATTCACGGTTACTTACCAAACTTATTAATTAGCCATATTACGAACAACGATATTGTGCAGAATGAAATGTTAATAATATTTTATTAGTTACTAAAGGTAATAGGATAATAACAGAGGATAAAATGAATTTTAATAATACAAGGGTTATGTGTTTAAACGGTAACATTTTTCCTGAATATTTAATTAACACGCCACGTTGAGCTTTCTGAAGAGCTATGAACACAATTGTTTTAAATCCGTATTTAAACTTGTGCGTTTATTAATTTTTCACTCTGATGTTTTATGCTCAGTCCAGTGAAATTTCAACTGTATAATTTGTAGTTTAAAGAGAACGAATGATATTTTAATTATTTCAAATTTCTCTTTGAATATAGTATTTATTTTTGAATACCAAATGTTAGGGCATCCTTATAATTAAATTATATAGTTCTAATTACTGACAACTTCTGTTTTAAATTAAATCTCTTATCCCAAATTAATGTTATTATTTATTGTTGACTGCTCTAATTACTTTCAGTCTTTTCAAAGAAAAAATAATCTAATTATTGCAACTAAAGTATTTTAAAATTATTCATCTAATTATTTTTTAATTTTAAAATTAAATTTTTTTGGTGCACTTAGACAGCAATTATAAATAAAAGAGTATCTAATTTCCTTTAATTAAAGTGACTGCAATTTGATTCTTCCTGACATTAAGAATCGAATTAATTCGCATCCTTTGTAGAGGCTAAAACTGTTAGCAACTCGCTAAAGACAATTATCCAGTGTTCCTTGACCACTCTAATCGCATTTTTAAGCGGAAAAAAGGTAAAACGATAAAGGCAAAGAGACTGGGAAAAATAGTTGAGAGTAAAGAGAGTCAAGTACACAGATAAGCGGAGTACCAGCCAGATAGGGTGAGAATAAAAGAAGGAAAGGGGATGATATATATGGAGAGTAACGAGCGATAAGGAATACAGCGTATAAAATTGTCTATAACTTAGGATAGTTTTCTTTTATTTAACATTTACTATGATTTACTGTTTTACTATGATTAGATTTTATTTTTGCTATAACTTTTGTTTAATTTAGAATATTCTCTCATATTTTTATCCAAATGATGAGTAAAATAATTTGTACATGGTTCTATGAAATATAATTGATTAACAAAATACATCTACATAAATTAATAATTTTCTATTGATTTAAGGTTTTATCATACTTGAAAAATCTTTTAATTTTGTTACCATTATATAAAGCCTTTACTAAATACATAGTTAAAATCCATGCCAAAATCACCGAGGCGAAGTTGAATCATCTTGAAATTCAAGATGCTTGTTGCACCCATGAAAGCAACACCTACACTAAGGTACATTGTAATAACGAGATAGATTTCAACAACAGTTCCTTGTTATAACTATACAGGAACATAACAGGTTTCAGGGTGGAAGCTACTTGATGGATTTCTACCGTAAATTAACTGCTACTGACATTAACCAATATCACTAAAAAATATGTAATTAAAATAATTACTAAACCTTTGAACGGTGAACCATCTCAAATTTTAATTAAAATTTGGATTGCATATTATTTTCATTTTCTAAATTTTACACTGTGCCTATAAAAATGACTCCTCCAATATATCTTCACATTTCTTTATTACAAAAGTGCCTAAATTTTTAAAATAAAATTTTACTTTAAAACCTATAATTACTAAATATTTCCAAAATTCTGAATGGACATTCTCATTTTACCCTTCATTATTATTTTTACCCTTCAACATCTATTGATCTAAATAGGTGAAAGTAGAGCAGAAAATTGTCTACATGAACCAGAAACTTCCAAGAAGAAAAAGAAATTATTTTTAGAGTCCCATTGACCAACAAAGGCAAAGAATTTCCACGAAAGGCAACAGTTTCGACGCGCAAGAACCGTGCATTCTTCGCTCGTTATTCACTTTAATTAACCGTGATTCATCAGGAAGCATACAGTTGGTAGGGGGACAAATCTTTCGCGAAGCGGATCTAGCTCGAAAACGAAGGTAGCAGGCCGATTCGTCTTCATTAATTACTCGCGTCGGGACGCGGCCTTTGAAGCTGCGGTTGCTGCATTACTTCCGTGGATGCATCAAACCTCGTGACTCGTTGGCTGTTACGTTTCACGGTTAAATTAATTCGAGCAGTATCAGCAACTTCCTGTCGAAGGCCAGCCGGAAATGAAGCGTTTCTAAGCGACTGGACGCTTTACTGTTAACTATCATCGACCGAGAGGAAGAGAATTTTATTTCAAGACGCGTTGTCAAATATTTTCTAATGCTTCAAATTTAAGGGTATTTTAATAATAATAAATTGTTTTAATCTTTTAATATTAAAATTTGCTTTTTAAAATAAATTTCAATAAAAT